TGTGCATATCATTTTCTATTAATTAAATGATGAACTTGCTATGGGCTTGTACCACACAGAAGGAAAGAGCTGGGCAGTACAAGATGCACATTTCTGGGGACAAGTCCGGGACTGGGAATTTGCTGGCTTTGCTCTGCAATATAATTCAGGAGTGGCTGGCTAGAAGCACTCATATATTCAGCTGAGAGTGATTTTGCATGTTGGAGGTTGTGTGAGAGCAGACCAGGAGTGGTGGTTCTCACAGTAAAGCAGTGTAAAAAGGGCACCCCAGGTTGGAGAGCTGAGGGGACACAGCTGTCCATCAGTCCAGATTGTACCCTGGGGAATGTCACAGTGACATGGTCAAATTGATGGTCACAGAAAATGTCTTTGGCTGCATTTCATTTGGATTTAAGAGGAGCAAAGCATTAATTTGGAGTCCAGAGAGGAGGATGAAATAGTAGTCAAGGAGAGACAAGGGGCTGAATGAGAGAGTTGGCTGTAGAAATAAAAAGGATGGATCTTAGCAACAATGAGGAGGTAGAATCAACAGTTTGGCTATGGCCAGGATATATTGGGCAAAAATTCAAAATAATCTTGAGATTGGAAACCTTAAGTAGAATGGAGAGTGATGAGGAAGGAGGGGAGTGGAGAGAATTTGGAAGGGAAGAGCAGTTCCTGTCTTGGCCATCTGCAATTTAAGATAACAAGAAAACCAAAAGGAGATGTCACTTTTGACACGGAGCTTTTGACACGGTCTCCCACAGTATTCTTGTCAGCAAGTTAAGGAAGTATGGGCTGGAAGAATGCACTATAAGGTGGGTAGAAAGCTGGCTAGATTGTCGGGCTCAACGGGTAGTTATCAATGGCTCCATGTCTAGTTGGCAGCCGGTATCAAGTGGAGTGCCCCAAGGGTCGGTCCTGGGGCCGGTTTTGTTCAATATCTTCATAAATGATCTGGAGGATGGTGTGGATTGCACTCTCAGCAAATTTGCGGATGATACTGAACTGGGAGGAGTGGTAGATACGCTGGAGGGGAGGGATAGGATACAGAAGGACCTAGACAAATTGGAGGATTGGGCCAAAAGAAATCTGATGAGGTTCAATAAGGATAAGTACAGGGTCCTGCACTTAGGACGGAAGAACCCAATGCACAGCTACAGACTAGGGACCGAATGGCTAGGCAGCAGTTCTGCGGAAAAGGACCTAGGGGTGACAGTGGACGAGAAGCTGGATATGAGTCAGCAGTGTGCCCTTGTTGCCAAGAAGGCCAATGGCATTTTGGGATGTATAAGTAGGGGCATAGCGAGCAGATCGAGGGACGTGATCGTTCCCCTCTATTCGACATTGGTGAGGCCTCATCTGGAGTACTGTGTCCAGTTTTGGGCCCCACACTTCAAGAAGGATGTGGATAAATTGGAGAGAGTCCAGCGATTAGGGGTCTGGAACACATGAGTTATGAGGAGAGGCTGAGGGAGCTGGGATTGTTTAGCCTGCAGAAGAGAAGAATGAGGGGGGATTTGATAGCTGCTTTCAACTACCTGAAAGGGGGTTCCAAAGAGGATGGCTCTAGACTGTTCTCAATGGTAGCAGATGACAGAACGAGGAGTAATGGTCTCAAGTTGCAGTGGGGGAGGATTAGATTGGATATTAGGAAAAACTTTTTCACTAAGAGGGTGGTGAAACACTGGAATGCGTTACCTAGGGAGGTGGTAGAATCTCCTTCCTTAGAGGTTTTTAACGTCAGGCTTGAGAAAGCCCTGGCTGGGATGATTTAACTGGGAATTGGTCCTGCTTCGAGCAGGGGGTTGGACTAGATGACCTTCTGGGGTCCCTTCCAACCCTTATATTCTATGATTCTATGTCGGGAGAAAAGCAGAGATTTGTGGGATTAGCTGGAAGGAGACAGGTCAGTTGTAGAGAAATAGTTTTGCAAGTCATCTGCATAGAAATGGTAGCTGAAGCCTTGTGAGCTGATGATCATCCAGTGGAAGGGTGGAAAGTGAGAAAAGCAAAGAAAGGGCCAAGGACAGAGCCCTCTGAGTGAGCGGGGTGAGGAGGATCCACCAAAAGAGAGAGAGAAGAAACTGTAACAGAGATAAGAGGAAAAACCAGGAAGAAACAATGGGTAAAACTTTCAAAAGCACCTAGGTCACATTTTTAAAAGACTGGGGCACTTAGGAGCAAGAGTCCCATTGCTTTCAATAAGAGTTAGACTCCTAAGTACTCAGTCTCTTTTGAAAACAGGACTTAGGCTCGGAAGTTGCTTACGTGCTTCTGAAAATTTTACCCAGTGTCTCAAAATCCCAGCAAGTGTATGATGTCAAGATGGATCTACTGTGTTAAAAGCAGAAAAGAGGATGAGGATGGCGTAAAAGGCCCTGAGATTTGGCTAGGAAATAGTCATGAGAGCTGCTTCAGCAGAGTGGAGAGGTCAGAAGCCATATTGCAGGGGATCCAAGGTGGTGCTTGGGGAGTGAATGCCTTGATTTTAGACTGTACATTCAAAGCTTAGAGGTAAAGGGGAGGGGGGAGGTAAGTATCCAAAGAGACACATCAGAGTGAGGGATAGCTTTTTGAGGCTAGGGAAAAGCAGGACAGACTTATACTGTGAGGGTCAGGGACGGGGTGAGCCTGGGGACAGTGGAAGTACTTGTCCAGTTTTGGCATCAGGATTTCAAAAAGGATATTGCAAAATGGGGAAGGGTTCAGAAAAGAGCCATAAGAAGACTTATGGTCTGAACACCAGCCTTACAATGAGAGACTAAAGCTCAGTTTACTCAGTTTATCAAAGGGAAGGCTAACAATGGTTTAACCATGGGCTAGAAGTACCTACTTGGGGAGCAGATGTCTGATGAGAGGGCTGTTTAGCAGACAAAGACGTAACAATATCCAATGACTGGAAGCTGAAGCTAGATAATGTCAAACTAGACATAAGGTTCACATTTTTGTCAGTGAGGGTAACTAACCATTGGAACAACTTACCTAGAGATGCAGTGGATTCTCCATCACTTTAGATCTTTATATCAAAAATGTCTGTCTTTCTTAAAGATCTGCTCTAGCTCAGCCAGGAGTTTTCGCTTGACGCAGCAATCACTGGTTGAAATTCTATGGCTTGTTATGCAGGAATTCAGACAAGATGATTGTCTGTCCTTTAAAACTTATTTAAAAAAAAAAGTAAGGAGAGGCAAAGATATAGGATCACTGGGGCAGGTGGAGAGGTTAGGGTTGGAGAGAAGGCAATAGACTACTGGGGCTGTGATGGAGAAGGAGGTGAAAGTGTTGGGAGGGGGGAAGGGCAACTTTTACGGGCTCCAATTTGAGAAGGCTCCCAAGACACGTGGTGTTGCGACTTGGCACACAGGGTCGCAGTGCCTCTCAGGTCTGGCTCAGTGGCCCTTCGGTCACAATGGAGGGGCAGCTGGGCCAAACCTGAATGATGCCATGATGCCACTTGCTGGGAGCAGGGACCTAAGCCCAGTCTTTCAGGACAGGAGCCAAGCTGCTGCTGCAAGTTGAGTGTGTTGCAGACTCGTTCTTCAACAGCCCTACCCACCCCCCAAGACCTCCCCTGAATGGTCATTTTTTGGAAGGACAGGGGACCTCAGTTTCAGATTTTGTCTTGGGCCCCCCAAAACTTCTGCAACCTTGGCTGGTGCAGGGCAAAATGAGGGGTGATCCCTGTGGACTGAATTTTCTTTTTGAAGTATGCAAGTTCTTGTCACACAGGGCATGTGAGAAGGAAATTTGATATGATTGATCCATTTGATATTAACCACTTATGTCAGTGACCATGTGACTTCTGTGGGGTTGTTACTGTCTTGAAGTTATGAATAAATAGACACTTTAGTTGTGTGGCTAATTTATTACACCCTCTATACCAGTGTTTGTCAAACGGGAGGTGCCTACCTGAAAGGGGATCACAAGACTATTGTAGGTGGGTCGTGAGAGCAGCAGCTGCTGGCTGGGCACCCAGCTTTGAAGGCAGCAGCAGCGCAGAAGAAAGGATGGAATGGGATGGTGTTGCCATCCTTTCTTCTGCACTGCTGCTGGCAGCAGCACTGCCCTCAGCTGCTGGCTGGGCATCCAACTCTGAAGGCAGCACTGCTTCCAGCAGCTGCGCAGAAGTACGGGTGGCATGGTATGCCGGGGGTTGTCACAGCCTGAAATATTTTCAAAGGGTTTCCAGTCGTCCCCCCCACCTCACCCCCCCCCAAAAAAAAAAAAAAAAAAAAAAAAAAAGAAAAGCTGGAGAACACCTGCACTATACCCTTAGTGCTTTGAGAAGTTGGGGCCGAATTACTTTTTTTTTTTAACACACTAGTCATTTTTGAAGAACATGAATAACATAGTGCAAAACAAATGTGTGCAGAGCCACCAGCCATTTCTACCTTGTAGCTGTGGTCCTCTTCCTCCTACCCTGTTCTCTTTTGTTGCTGTCTTCTCTTATAACATCAAGACTGTTTATAGACTTGTCAACTCTTCTGACCTGGGACTGTCCTTTTTGTTTATCAAGCACCTCACACATTTTGGGTCCAATGTGTATAATAGTAGGGCTTTTGAATGAGTAGACGGGTCAGAAGTTGGGACAATAGCTATGAAAAGGATTCGGGAACCTTAAACAATGTTTTTACCCCTAAATTTCTGTCTGAGAGGCATCTTCATCATACCACCTTGACCAAGTTTTTGGTCTGCCGTGATTTTTAGGAGAGGGGCTTGCCTCTTGGAATTGGGGCAAAGCAGGGGTAATGTGAGTCCTTTGTGAGGGATGAAGCAGGGGAAGAAGCCAAGAAGGAGGGGCTCATGTCCTTGAATATCTGCAGCTGGAACTTCAGCCTTTTTCACGAGCTGAATAAGCGGGTGGACGTGGAATATTTTTTCATTTTTGAGTTCATATACAACTATAGTGAACTGAACTTTGAGATAAAGCCTGTAAACTGAATAAAGTTATATTTGGTTCATGCATTTTGGATTATGTATAGGACAGAGGGAAACTCATGCTCTACACTTTTCCTCCTCAGCTCTGTAGCATTGTGTAAACTTCTCCAGTATGGTATCAACAGTGATGACAAGCGCCTGCAGGACATTAGGGTGAAGGGTGAAGAAATATTCAATATGGATGAGGGAATACGCACACGATCCAAATCAGCCAAAAGTAAGTAATCAGATTGCTCTAACAGGGTTGGGTCTATAAATATTACCTCGTGGTACACTTGGAAAGCCTCTAAAAGATTTTCTAGGTCTTCTGCGGTTTTGTTGGGTATGTTGCTATTACAGAAAAGACTTTTTTTTATTGGAACTTTCCCAAAGTTAGCAAGATTAATATACCTATTAATTGCTTACCAAATTCTTGTTTGGGTTTGGGAGCATTGCTCTTACACTTCTAATTTAAGATTAGGGGAAATTAGAAGGCTCATGAGGTGTGGAGCCCTTCAACTGCTATGTCAGTAGATCAAATTCATTCCTAGCTGAAGGACCTAAAATTGATACCATCGGGATGCTTGGTATTTAACTCTGTGAAATGAGCTTTCAGTGGACAATATTGGTAATCACAGTAGAGGAAATGAAGGACTGACTTGCCCAATGAGTCTGAAGTTACCACCACTAGGTGGTAGAGTATACTTTACACCAGGGGCATGGCTCATGGGATTGGGGGGCAGCTTAGTAGAAACTTGCACTATGGTCATGCTCTCCCTGAAGGACTTCAGTCTCTAGTGCGTTAAGCCCAGCATCCTTAATCAGCATTACATTTAATTTAAAATAAGTGTTTCTCCTGATAGGTTGGGAAGCCACCGGCCTAGACTATTTAACAGTGTGGGCTGCATACGAAGCTCTCTGTGTTGTGTTATGTGGGCTGCATCCACACAATATATGTACTACCTCTGTGGCCCTGCGGATGTCGCATGGGCTGCAGCTGTGTGCTAATTTGGCCCTGCGGGCTAAGAACCACTAATCTAGGCTTTTTGGTGTGTTTCCTTTGCAGAGATCTGTCATAGTAATTGTATTGTGGTAGGCCCTAGTGACCACTAGTGGCCCCTCAGTTGAGGGAGGCATTACACACCCATGACAAAATGTTCCCTGCCCTACAGAGCTCTCTATCAAAGATGTCAGTCCTGCACCTTATTGTTTTGGGCCCAAGGATCTGCTCACAGGTGACAGGACTGAGATCTTAGAAAGTAACATGTGGAGCTGCACTGGGGAATACAGGATGTAAGCAGCAGTTGCAACACACTTGCTGTCTCCTCACCGAAAAACATTGTTTTACTTAACATTTTACTTAACATTGTTTTACTTAAAGTAGCATTTTTCAGGAACATAACTACAACGTTAAGCGTGGAGTTACTGTAGTTACTACTTTCGTTGTGTCTGTACAGTCCCTATTGCACAGGTGCCCTGATCCATGATTGGGGCCCCTAAGCATTACTGCAATACAAATAATTCATTACTTTGGTGATTTGACCTGGACTGGATTTGAACTAGTAATTTAGATCTGGAAGGCTCTGTATTCCATAACCTGGCTTCTAGGCCATAGTTCCCACCAAGGCAATATTTACACTTTAAAATAAATGTTGAACACAGTTCTTGTGGCCTTTAAGAAACCTGTTTCAAGGACCGTTTGATATGTCTTTTGAGTTCACAACCTGAGATTATATAAAAGAGTGAACATATGAGCAACATGAGAACTGTTTGCCACCAGTAATGCCCACAGGGAAAGAAAAAAATGAAGTTGGAAAGGCTAATAGCTTTAACCTACTGCGTCAATCTTTCGCCTGTCAGTCATTTAATGAACAATGATCATCTTTAGTTTTGTCTTGGACCCTTAAAGTCCCAGTGTGGTTGCTAATTGACTAGTTGAAGTTTCAGATTGTCCTTGCGTAACTCACATAATGTACAATTACACCTCAGTGTTTGCTTAGTTCAGAGGATTTGACACTTGCCTTGTTTATATATATGTTCAATGGTGCCAGAATATCTGCTCGATGGTGGTAGTTAAATGCAGCTCTCTGAGAAGAACGTTTTCATGTAAAAGTGTAGTTCTGTTCAGTGAACCTTTCCAGCCTGTATTGAAACAGGATTGTTTTACTTGCTTTGAAGATTCTTATTTAGTTTGTTAAAAGGCAAGGTTATTTATGTATTCCTTCCTCTGGTCTTACAGATCCTGAACGCTGGACAAACATTCCGTTGTTAGTAAAAATCTTAAAATTAATAATAAATGAACTTTCTAATGCAATGGAAGCAAATGCATCACGCCAGACAGCTGCAGACTGGAATCAAGGTACCAAACAGGGGTGGCTTTTTCCTTTCAGATGATGAAGAATGAATGGAGCAGCTGAGCTGCTAGCAAAAATATGCAATCTCATTAAAAACAGCTACTATACTATACTAGAGAATTGGAAGGTAGTAAATATTGTACCTATATTGAAAAAGAGCTCTAGGGTGATTCGTTAAATTACAGATCAGTCAGCTTCACACATGTTCCTGGTAAACTGGTCAAAATGATCTTTGAAAATAGAATAACTGATCTGGAAGATTACAGAATAAGATCTAACCCGCACAGTTTCTCCAAAAGAAAGTTCTGCTGCACTACTCAGTTAGAATTCTTTAAATGTGTCAAAGTAGGGGATAAAGGAGGAACCGCTTTGACATAATCTAAACTTTCAAAAAGCCCATTGACAAGGTCCATCTTACAAGATTGCTAAAGAAACTAAGTAGTTATAGGGCGAGGCGCAAAGTATTGTGGTTGATCTAATACATGGTCAGCTCTCATCATGGCACAAGGTGAACAGCAGCAGGCCTCAAGGTTCTGTGCTGAGACTCGTTTTTAATAAAGATCTGGAAAAGGGGGTGAGTAGTGAGGTGGCCAAATTTGCATGGGTCACCCAAAATTATTGAGCTCTTGCTCAGCCAGAAGGTATTTGCTGGATGCAGAAATGACCAGATGAATTTCTCTGGCCTGTGTTATTTAGGAGTTCAGATTAGATTATCCTAAGAGGTCCCTTCTGGCATTAAAGTCTGTTACTGGCCCATTTCCTGCCCCTAAGTCTGATCCCCTGGAGTGGGGGGAACCTTTGGACCAGATACTGGTTCCCAAAACCATGTTCAGCTCTAATCTGTCTCAGAGTGGGAGTTAATTGACACAGCCCATTATGGAAAAGTGTGCATGGCCATTGGCACCAAAACAGGTGACTTGGGGCTTCCCCAATGTTGGTTTCCAAAGAACCCTTGGTGTCAGTGCCTGGACCTTGAGAATCCATCTTAGAATGGCATTAAGACACTGGTTCTGACCCTTTTCCCTGGGTGCCAGCACATAAGACCAAGGTACCAAATGGGTGCTGAATGCTCCTGATGGTGGTATTCCAGTCCTGTGTTTCTGCTTCTGTCTGCTGCTCCTCATACCAAGGAAAGTAGAAGTAGAACAGGAAGGAGGACCCCTGAACAGGACCAACCTAGAAAGAAACAGGAAAAGAGGCATTCTCACGTTTCCTTAATTCAGAGGATTGCACCTCAGATTTGAAGACACTAATTCTAGGGGCCAACCTAACTGGGAATGCCTAGGGACCAGGGGGAGACAAGGGGGAGACAAGCGAGCAAGACAAGGGGGAGACCAGCAAGGGTACGCCCCCCTCATAATCTGTGTGTCCCTGCAACCTGGGGAGGGAGGAAGCAACAGAGCGGCTGGCTACTGGCTGAGCTGCTCCTCTCCCCACCCCTACAGCTGCTGCTTCTCCTTCCTGGCTGCTGGAGTCCTCTGCCGCCACTCACCTGCATGGGCAGTCTGCAAAGCAAGTAGTGGTGGGACTCCAGCAGCAGGGAAGGAGACGCAGCAGCTATAGGGGTGGGGAGAGGAGGAGCTCAACTAGCAGCTAGCCACCCTGCGGCTTCCTCCCTCCCTGGGCTGCAGAGACACGAGAGTGCTGCTGCCAGGGGGAGTCGCTGCCTCCTCACTGCTGGGCGTCCTGAGGAATTCTGCTTTCCTGATTGTTTGTGAACAAGTCTGTCTCCACCCTGGTTTGGCACCATTTCATTGTACCTGCCCCTTGGCCAGTTTCATGCAGTCCAGTGCTCTGACCATAGACAGTACAATGCTGTGTCTTGATTATAACTGCCCCTTCTTGGGGGTAATAGTCCATTAGCACTTCTGTTGTAACCCTTGTCTTTGTTGGGTGTTAAACTCTCTATCCTGACACTGGTCTGACTTTCTGGCAGGAGTTTATATTTATAATTAGGGCCGTACCAAATTCATGGTCTGTTTTGGTCAATTTCACGGTCATAGGATTTAAAAATCATAAATTTAATGATTTCAGCTATTTAAAGGTGAAATTTCACAGTATTGTAATTCTAGGGGTCTTGACCCAAAAAGGAGTTTGGAGGGGGTGCAGGTGGGGGTGTCTGATGTTCCCCTGGTGTTATCTGGACCTGAGATCTGCTAGGTCATGCCAATCATTGACTCTGGGAGCTAGCCTTAGCCCTGGTCTACACTAGGACTTTAGGTCGAATTTAGCAGCATTAAATCGATGTAAACCTGCACCCGTCCACACGATGAAGCCCTATATTCGACTTAAAGGGCTCTTAAAATCGATTTCCTTACTCCACCCCTGACAAGTGGATTAGCGCTTAAATCGGCCTTGCCGGCTCGAATTTGGGGTACTGTGGACACAATTCGACGGTATTGGCCTCCGGGAGCTATCCCAGAGTGCTCCATTGTGACCGCTCTGGACAGCACTCTCAACTCAGTTGCACTGGCCAGGTAGACAGGAAAAGAACCGCGAACTTTTGAATCTCATTTCCTGTTTGGCCAGCGTGGCAAGCTGCAGGTGACCATGCAGAGCTCATCAGCAGAGGTGACCATGATGGAGTCCCAGAATCGCAAAAGAGCTCCAGCATGGACCGAACGGGAGGTACGGGATCTGATCGCTGTATGGGGAGAGGAATCCGTGCTATCAGAACTCCGTTCCAGTTTTCGAAATGCCAAAACCTTTGTCAAAATCTCCCAGGGCATGAAGGACAGAGGCCATAACAGGGACCCAAAGCAGTGCCACGTGAAACTGAAGGAGCTGAGGCAAGCCTACCAGAAAACCAGAGAGGCGAACGGCCGCTCCGGGTCAGAGCCCCAAACATGCCGCTTCTATGATGAGCTGCATGCCATTTTAGGGGGTTCAGCCACCACTACCCCTGCCATGTTGTTTGACTCCTTCAATGGAGATGGAGGCAATACGGAAGCAGGTTTTGGGGATGAAGAAGAAGATGATGATGAGGAGGAGGTTGCAGATAGCTCACAGCAAGCAAGCGGAGAAACCGGTTTTCCCGACAGCCAGGAACTGTTTCTCACCCTGGACCTGGAGCCAGTACCCCCCGAACCCACCCAAGGCTGCCTCCTGGACCCAGCAGGCGGAGAAGGGACCTCTCTGTGTTCTCCTTCTTTATCTCTCTGTGTTATCCTCAGGAGAGTGAGATATAATTCATGGTCACCTTGTTGAAATAGAGTGCTTTTCTTCAGGGGACACTCAGAGGAGCCTGTTCCTGCTGGGCTGTTTGCCTGTGGCTAAACAGAAATGTTCCCCGCTGTTAGCCACAGGGAGGGGGGAGGCAAAATGCGACCTTGTAACGAAAGCACATGTGCTATGTATGTAATGTTAACAGCAAGGTTTACCCTGAAAGAGTGTAGCCACTGTTTTATAAAATGTCTTTTTAAATACCGCTGTCCCTTTTTTTCTGCTCCAACTGCATGTGTTTCAGTGATCACAGGATCTTCTCCTTCCCAGAGGCTAGTGAAGCTTAGAAAGAAAAAAAAACGCACTCGAGATGAAATGTTCTCCGAGCTCATGCTGTCCTCCCACACTGACAGAGCACAGACGAATGCGTGGAGGCAAATAATGTCAGAGTGCAGGAAAGCACAAAATGACCGGGAGGAGAGGTGGCGGGCTGAAGAGAGTAAGTGGCGGGCTGAAGAGAGGGCTGAAGCTCAAATGTGGTGGCAGCGTGATGAGAGGAGGCAGGATTCAATGCTGAGGCTGCTGGAGGACCAAACCAGTATGCTCCAGTGTATGGTTGAGCTGCAGCAAAGGCAGCTGGAGCACAGACTGCCACTACAGCCCCTGTGTAACCAACCGCCCTCCTCCCCAAGTTCCATAACCTCCACACCCAGATGCCCAAGAACGCGGTGGGGGGGGGGGCACCGGCCAACCAGCCACTCCGCCACAGAGGATTGCCCAAAAAAAAGAAGGCTGGCATTCAATGAATTTTAAAGTTGTAAACTTTTAAAGTGCTGTGTGGCATTTTCCTTCCCTCCTCCACCACCCCTCCTGGGCTACCTTGGTAGTCATCCCCCTATTTGTGTGATGAATGAATAAAGAATGCATGAATGTGAAGCAACAATGACTTTATTGCCTCTGCAAGCGGTGATCGAAGGGAGGAGGGGAGGGTGGTTAGCTTACAGGGAAGTAGAGTGAACCAAGGGGCGGGGGGTTTCATCAAGGAGAAACAAACAGAACTTTCACACCGTAGCCTGGCCAGTCATGAAACTGGTTTTCAAAGCTTCTCTGATGCGTACCGCACCCTCCTGTGCTCTTCTAACCGCCCTGGTGTCTGGCTGCGCGTAACCAGCAGCCAGGCGATTTGCCTCAACCTCCCACCCCGCCATAAACGTCTCCCCCTTACTCTCACAGATATTGTGGGAATATTGGTTTCGCTGAGGTCTAAGCGAGTCAGTAAACTGCGCCAGCGCGCCTTTAAACGTCCAAATGCACATTCTACCACCATTCTGCACTTGCTCAGCCTGTAGTTGAACAGCTCCTGACTACTGTCCAGGCTGCCTGTGTACGGCTTCATGAGCCATGGCATTAAGGGGTAGGCTGGGTCCCCAAGGATACATATAGGCATTTCAACATCCCCAACCGTTATTTTCTGGTCTGGGAAGAAAGTCCCTTCCTGCAGCTTTTGAAACAGACCAGAGTTTCTGAAGATGCGAGCGTCATGTACCTTTCCCGGCTATCCCACGTTGATGTTGGTGAAACGTCCCTTGTGATCCACCAGAGCTTGCAGCACTATTGAAAAGTACCCCTTGCGGTTTACGTACTCGGCGGCTTGGTGCTCCGGTGCCAAGATAGGGATATGGGTTCCGTCTATGGCCCCACCACAGTTAGGGAATCCCATTGCAGCAAAGCCATCCACTATGACCTGCATATTTCCCAGGGTCACTACCCTTGATATCAGCAGATCTTTGATTGCGTGGGCTACTTGCCTCACAGCAGCCCCAACAGTAGATTTGCCCACTCCAAATTGATTTCCAGCTGACGGGTAGCTGTCTGGCATTGCAAGCTTCCACAGGGCTATCGCCACTCGCTTCTCAACTGTGAGGGCTGCTCTCATCTTGGTATTCATGCACCTCAGGGCAGGGGAAAGCAAGTCACAAAGTTCCATGAAAGTGCCCTTACGCATGCGAAAGTTTCACAGCCACTGGGAATCGTCCCAGACCTGCAACACTATGCGGTCCCACCAGTCTGTGCTTGTTTCCCGAGCCCAGAATCGGCGTTCCACAGCATGAACCTGCCCCATTAGCACCATGATGCATGCATTGGCAGGGCCCATGCTTTCAGAGAAATCTGTGTCCATGTCCTGATCACTCACGTGACCATGCTGACGTCGCCTCCTCGCACGGTATCGCTTTGCCAGGTTCTGGTGCTGCATATACTGCTGGATAATGCGTGTGGTGTTGAATGTGCTCCTAATTGCCAAAGTGAGCTGAGCGGCCTCCATGCTTGCCTTGGTATGGCGTCCGCACAGAAAAAAGGCGCGGAACGATTGTCTGCCGTTGCTCTGACGGAGGGAGGGGCGACTGACGACACGGCTTACAGGGTTGGCTTCAGGGAGCTAAAATCAACAAAGGGGGTGGCTTTACATCAAGGAGTATTTCAGGCAGGACTTCACCGAGGGTTCCAATAAGAAATGGTGCACCTAAGTTATTGTTCTTATTGGAACAAGGAGGTTAGCCTGGCCTCTGATTGATACATGGCTAGATTTACCTCGCTGCACCTTCTCTGTGAGTGACTGCAGTGTGACCTAGAGGAATGAGTCCCCTAGACAGGGGAGGAGGCAAATGAGTACAAAACAAATCTGGTCTATTTCTTGTTTTGATCCACTCCATCTATCTTTTACATCTTTGGCTGGCAGCAGACGGTGCAGAGGGACTGCATGCCATCCACATCTCATGGCTGCTCGGCAGAAGATGGTACAGTACGACTGCTAGCCATCCTCATCTCTTGCCTGCCCGGCAGAAGATGGTACAGTACAACTGCTAGCAATCCGTATCGCCTGCCTGGTCACCATTTGACGGTTCAATAGGACTGACTGCAGGACTAAAGAGAGTGACCTGGTCAGGTCACTCCAAATTTAGTCCCTGTGCCCATGTCTGTCCAGGCGCTCCCAGCCGACGTGGCCAGGAGCACCTCTGACACGACGAGGACGGCTACCAGTCGTACTGCACCGTCTGCTGCCAGAAGGCAATGGGTTGCTGCTACTGTGTAGCAATGCCGTACCACATCTGCCAGCACCCAGGAGACATACGATGACGGTTACCTGAGCGGGCTCCATGCTTGCCGTGGTATGGCGTCTGCACAGGTAACTCAGGAAAAAAGGCGCAAAACGATTGTCTGCCCTTGCTTTCACGGAGGGAGGGAGGGAAGGGGGGCCTGACGATATGTACCCAGAACCACCCGCGACAATGTTTTAGCCCCCATCAGGCATTGAGATCTCAACCCAGGATTCCAATGGGCAGCGGAGACTGCGGGAACTGTGGGATAGCTATCCACAGTGCAGCGCTCCGGAAGTCGACTCTAGCCTCGGTACTGTGGAAGCACTCCGCTGAGTTAATGCACTTAATGCCCTTAGAGCATTTTCTGTGGGGGCACACACACTCGAATATATAAAACCGATTTCTAAAAAAACGACTTCTATAAATTCGACCTTATTCTGTAGTGTAGACATACACTTACTCTGCTCTGCTGTGAGAACCCCCACTCCTGGGCTGTTCACGCACAGCCTCTAGCATGTAAAGCTGACCTCAGCTATATGAGTGAGTACTTTTAGCCAGCTGCTGCTTGGGTTGTGCAACCGAATGACACTAGCCAGTATCACAACCCTAGGAACCTCCATCTTGCAGTTTCCAGTTATGCCCGCTGGAAGCTGCACGCTTATATGACTTTGTCAATTTAACAAAGAAATTGATATGTACCAGGCTTGTTATCCCAAGGGGAGTCTCTGACATGCTTCAAACCAAACGTACTGCCTCAGGTAGAATAAACAGATTTATTAATTACAAAAGATAGATTTTAAGTGATTATAAGTCAAAGCACAAGAAGTCAGATTTGGTCAAATGAAATAAAATCAAAATGCCTGGGCCTCTGCTCCTGGAGGGTTTTGCCTGGGCTTGTTTTAAGCCATGAGGACACATTTTCAGCCTCATAACGATATACATGAAATTACAACCTGTAACATTACTGTAACAACATGCATCCGACAAAGTGGGAAAGCTTATGCTCCAATACGTCCGTTAGTCTATAAGGTGCCAGAGGACTCTTTGCAACAATGCTCTGTGCATCCTGAGCCTTCTGAAGACACCCGACGTGACAAACTTTGCATTGGATAGCACTCAGTCCTATTATAAGGATGAACATGGGGGTGCAGAGTGTTCCCCCCCGAGGCACAGAGCATCACATGGGGGAGGTCACAAGGTTATGGTAGGGGTGGCAGTACTGTAACCCTTACTTCTGAGCTGCTGCTGGCGGCCGTGCTGCCTTTAGAGTTGGGCGGCTGGAGAGAAGCAGCTGCTGGCCAGGATCCCAACTCTGAAGGCAGAGGCGCCGCCAGCAGCAGCACAGAGGTATGGATGGCATGGTCTGGTATTGCCACCCTTACTTCTGCGCTGTTGTCTGCAAAGCTGGGCCCTCAGTCAGCAGCCACCGCTCTCCAGTCTCCCAGCTCTGAATGCGGCAGTGCAGAAGTAAGGGTGGCAATACTGCAACCCCCACAAATAACCTTGCGACCCCCCCGCAATTCCCTTTTGTGTCAAGACCTCTAATTTGAGGTACACCGGTCTCCCCTGTGAAATCCATAAAGTATAGGGTAAAAGCACACACAAGACAAGATTTGATGCACGGAGACCAGATTTCATGGTCCATGACCCTTTTTTCATGGCCACGAATTTGGTAGGGCCCTATTTATAATCCTATCCATCAACTTTAAAGATATAAGCATGTCAATACACTGGCTTCCCTGAGCTGTACTCAGGGGCATAAGTCATTTCTGCTCCTGTACTGGTCAATGAGGGACTGCATATTCTGTGGCTAATGGTTATCCATCTTGAACTGGTATTTTCTGTTTGGCTTTAAGATGCTTTTTTTTCATCAACAGATGACTCCAATGATATGTGGGAAGATCGGGAAGATGAAGAGGATGAAGATGAAGGTTTAGCTGGACAACTTTTATCAGATATTCTTGCCACAAACAAATATGGTAAGCAGAACAGTTACATTCACTGTTCAGGTTTCAGAGGAACAGCCGTGTTAGTCTGTATTCGTAAAAAGAAAAGGAGTACTTGTGGCACCTTAGAGACTAACCTTAGACTAGTCTCTAAGGTGCCACAAGTACTCCTTTTCTATTCACTGTTCAAAAGATCAAATTGGGTAAAGAACATGGAGCTCTGAAAGTTACATTTCTCCTGACAGCTGCTTAGTATATAGTATGGAGGGCAGGAAAATAACCTGGAATGGAAGACACTGGTTTGGTGGGAGAAAGGAAGAGCAAAAAATACATCCTGGAACAGAGACTGTATGTTCATAGGCTAGAAGGTATCAAACCACAGCACCTTTTGAGGCTCAGGGTTTGTCTACACTTAAAATGCTACAGCGGCAATGCTGATCACTGCAGTGCTTCAGCATAGACACTATCTATGCTGACAGAAGGGATTCTCCCATCCACATAGGTAATCTAGCACCCCAAGAGGCTGTAACTAAGTTGACAAAAGCATTCTTCCATCAACGTAGCGCTGTCTACCCGGGGACTTTGGTCAGCTTAACTGCGCCACTTGGGTGTGGATTTTTCACATCCCTGAGCAATGTAGTTTTGCTGACCTAATTTTCTAGTGTAGACCAGGCCTCAGTGAGTCTCAAGTACTAATTTGGCTTCACAACACTGTCATGAGGCAGGTATAAATATGGTTTACAGATGGGAAAACTGAGGCTCAGAGGTGAAGATATTTGCCCGAAGTCACAAAATGACAGTGTCAAAACTGAATAGAACCCAAATTTCCCAACTAAGTCCTGTGTTCTTGTAGGAAGAAGTTGTGTGTGATCCTGAAGTGATAGGTGTTTAAAGGGAAAGGGAGCTGTGGGTATATGATCTGGAGGGTTAAGGAGAAGAGGTAGGTGTATAATTTGAAGAGAGAATCTTACTTAGTACAGCTAAGGCAACTTAAATGAATTGTTTTGCTGCACTGGCAGATTTCAGTCTCCTATGCTTCTATCATGATGCATTGGCTCTGCCGCAGATAACATGGCAAGACAAATTCATTTAGGTAGCCTTAATGAGAGGGAAACTTACCCAGGTTCTTTTGTAGCCCAAGGAAGACTTTCTTCAACATTACCATGTCTCAGTGAGAGAGGGATGTGTCTCAATATTCAGTGGAAGTGTTTCCTGTGTGACTGTAATGCATGAAATGTAGCTAATAAAGGATGTATTTGTGTCAGGTGCTGAGGTGGTAAGCCAAGGATATCTCAGTTTGGAGCAAAGGAATGATAAACACCTGTATTGTGCTACTTGGACTCTTGTCTCAGCTGTGAGTGGCTAAAGGCTCCTGCCCCTCCTTATTTTGCCATTCTTCACTGCCCTCAGCCCATTTAAAAAAAAGTTGCTCGTTTCTTTTAAATGGAATTTTTATCCAAAATGACACTTCTGATCCCTGTTAAAATCTGTGGATCTCCTGGAGTTAGGGGCCTAGTGAGATGCATCCTGAAATAGTAGCCAGCTTGTCCTTCACTATAAACACTTGTGCTTTTGTGTTTCCAGATGAGGATTACTATGATGATGATGAAGAGGATGATCCAGATGCATTAAAGGACCCTCTTTATCAAATAGACCTACAGGTGATGTATTAAAATGAGTTTTGCGGTCCGATACCTGTTGCCTATTTATTCTAATTATTCATTATATTTTACTTCCTTATATAGTATCTGTAACAAAATGCAGAGTCCCCTGAGCACTGAAAGGAGAATACATTCTGTATTTTTATTCAGTTTACTGGAATTGCTCTGGAAGTGCCAGAGGATGCATATTATCACTATTATTATTTGTATTACTACAGCAACCAGGCAGGGACCCAGGACCCCATTGTTCTAGGGGCTGTGCAAACAGAACCAAAAGACACCCCCTTCTCCAAAGAGCTTCCAGTATAAGACCAGAGACAACAGATGGATACAGACAGACAGGGGAGCACGAGGAAACAGTGGTCAGCATGGTGGGCAGTGGTCTCAGCACATCAACAGCATAACTTAATTTTTTTTTGTTATCGGTGCAAAGGAGAGGTTTTAGGAGGGATTTGAAGGAGGCTGAGGTAGCTTTGCAGATGTTTATGGGGAGTGCCTCCCAGGTGAGAAGGCAGCCTGGAATAAAACACCAAGGCATTTGTTTGAAAATTTAACCAGTGGGCAATGGAGGCTGGCATCGTGAACCAGCTGGAAGCAAGCAATCACAGCTTGATTGCAATTGAGAGATAAGGAGGGTGGGGATAAAATCCCTGAAAGTGAAGACCGGCAGTTTACATTTGATGCAACAGAGAAGGGGGAGTCAGTGGGGAGATTCAGAGGGGTGATGCGGTCAAAGAAACAAGCTAGGAAGAAGAGGTGCTTTCTATGACTTATCTCTGCTGCAGGAATGACCAGTGACTTGGAAATGTGTTTTTTTTACGTGAAAGATAGAAATTGGATTTGAGTGACTAAACCTTGTAGCATATAGAACCAAGTGTCTGTGCAAGGGGATTCTGAGTGTTTCAATAATTGGTTAAGGTTTTTGGAAGAGGAACAAATAGATTAAATGTAAAGCTGGTTTGTATGGTATTACATTAAGAGTACTAAACTGGCAATTTGCCAAGTTTCCAAGGGCCGGCAACTAACTTGCAAAAAGTCTGGAGGATAACAGAATCCTAAACAAAAAACAGTAGTGTGGATTTAAAACCTGTGTTAAAAGTGTTGCTAAGTTTGCAAAGTCAAGTGCTCAAGTTTAAAAAAAAAAAAAAAAAGCTAGAATGAAGGCTGCATGTGCAACATTAATTCTGGCATAGTTTGTGACTCTGAAGCTTGGTTAGGTGCCTCTGTAGGTCCTTAGCTTTCTCTGACTTAATTATCCTAAATAACTGTCATCTGCAAATTCTTCCAGCTCACTGTGCTCACCCACCTTTCTAGTTTGATATATTAAACATTGGGCCTAGTGTGGAACTTTGAGGCACTTGGCTATTAACCTTTGTGTTTGATTCATGACAATACTTTGCCTCTTGCTTATCTTGCCTCTGTTTATCTAAACTTTTGACAGGTCTTTGATAAGCCTAACAGGCTATTCAAAGACCTGTCAAAAGTTTAGATGAACAGATTCATAGATTCTAAAGCACAAAGGGACTTCTGTGATCATCTAGTCTGACCTGTATAACACAGGCCACAGGACTTCCCTGAATTAATTCCTGTTTGAACTACAGTATGGCTTTTTGAAAACATTTTTAGCTGTGGAGAATCCACCACAACCAGTGTTTAATTTTGTTTTTAAAAAAAAAAAAAAAGATCCTTGGGCTCACGCACAGTGTGACCTTGCAAACATTGTACATATGAGGTCATGCCTTGCACGCCACTGACCGAAGAGGTGTCATGGCTGAGCCCTGGCACAAATTAAGCTCTGACCACAACCCTAGGTAAGTTGTTTCAATGGATAATTACCCTCACTGTTAAAGATTTGTGCCTTATTTCTAGACTGAATTTTTCCAGCTTCAACTTCCAGCCATTGAATTAGTTAAACCTTTGTCTTCTGGTTTGGAGGAGAGTCCTCTATTATCAAATTGCTGTTCCTCCTGTCAACTAGTTCTTTTATCCATTAATCTATTGACATGCTTAGAGAATTCTAATAAATTAGTGAGGCACAATCTTCCTTTGCAGAAACTGTGCTGATTAGACCCTACAACAGCATGATATTCCAAATGTTTTATTCTATTTTTAATTATCGTTTCCACCAGTTTACCAGGAACAGAGATGTAAGGCTTTATGCTCATAAAGGCACCCATAGAGTCACACCCCCTACCCCCCGCCCCCAGTCATCAAGAGAAACTTTTTAGTACATTTGAGGTTGAGGTGGAAATAGTAGACAGACTTGTTGGAAGTCTATGGGTAAGGATAAAAGATGTTTTTTAAAATAAAAAAGGAATGTTATATTAAAGGTCTACTATAGATCACCTATCAAGGAGAAGAGGTGCATGAAGATTTTTTTTTTTTAAACAACTAACAAAATCATCCAAAATACAAGACTTGGTATTGGTGAGGGACTTCAGCTACCCAGACATCTCTTGGGAAAATAATACATCAGGGCACAGATTATCCAACAAGTTCTTGGAATGCACTGGAGACAGTATTTTATTTCAGAAGCTGAAGAATGCAACCAGGGGAGAGGCTGATCTTTATTTGGATTTTGACCAATAGGGAGGAACTGGTTTAGAATTTTAAAGTGGAAGGCAGCTTGGGTGAAAGTGATCATGAAATGGTAAGAGTTCATGAGTCTAAGGAATGGAGGGAGGGAAAACAGCAGAATAAAGAAAATGGATTTCAAGAAAAAATACTTTAGCAAACTTAGGGAGCTGGTAGGTAAGATCCCATGGGAAGCAAGCCTAAGGGGGAGAACAATGGGGGAGAATTGACAACTTTTTCAGAGAGATTAAGGGTACGAAAGCAAACTGTCCCACCGCATAGGAAAGATAGGAAGTATGGCAAGAGACCACCCTGGCTTAACCAGATCTTCAATGATTTGAAACTCACAGTTCTTCAAAAAGTTAAAAGTAGGTCAAATTACTTAGGATGAATATAAAAAAACACAAGTATGTAGGGACAGAATTAGAAAGGCTAAGGTACAAAATGAGATTAAACTAGCTAGCGAAAGAAAGGGTAACAGAAAACGTTCCACAAATACATGAGAAGCAAGAGGAAGACCAAGGTGAGGGTAGGCTCAATGGGGTCGGGGGAAGGGGAAGACAATAACAGAAAATGTAGGAATGGCAGAAGTGTTACATGCCCTTTTTGTTTGTTTTCACCAAGAAGATTAGAAGTGATCTAATCAAACACCAGTGAAAATGAGGTAAGATTCGAGGCTAAAATAGGAAAAGAACAAGTTAAAAATTACTTAGACAAGTTAGATGTCTTCAAGTCAAGACAGAAAATATCATATTGCCTATATATAAATCCATGGTTCAACCGCATCTTCAATACTACGTGCAGATGTGGTCACCCCATCTCAAAGAAGATATATTGGATTGTAAAAAGTATAGAAAAGTGCAACAAAAATACATAGGGGTATGGAACAGCTTCCATATCAGGAGAGATTAATAAGACTGGGATTTTTCAGCTTGGAAAAGAGACAACTAAGGGGGGATATGATAGAGGTCTATAAACATGAATGGTGTGGAGAAAGTGTTGTTTACTCCTCAGAACACAAGAAGTAGGGGTCACCAAATGAAGGTAGTAGGCAGCAGATATAAAACAAACAAAAGGAAGTATTTCTTCACACAATGTATAGTCCATTTTTGGATCTCTTTGCCAGAGGATGTTGTGAAGGCCAAGACTATAACAGGATTCAAAAAAGAGCTAGATAAATTCTTGGAGGATAGGTCCATCAATGGCTATTAGTCAGGATGGGCAAGGATGGTGTCCCTAGCCTCTGTTTGCCAGAAGCTAGAGTGTGACAGGGAATGGATCACTTGATGATTACCTGTTCTGTTCATTCCCTCTGAAGCAGCTGGTATTGGCCATTGTCAGAAGATCAAATACTGGGCTAGATGGACCTTTGGTTTGAACCAGTATGGTCGTTCTTATGTTTGAGTTGGCAGGGCCTGATGAGATTCATCGTAGATTACTCAAGGAGCTGATTGAGGAGATATCTGAGCCATCAGCGATTATCTTCGAAAACTCATGGATAGGGCCCTACCAAATTCATGGCCATGAAAAACGCATCATGGACCATGAAATCTGGTCTTCTGAGTGTTTTTACCCCATACTATACAGATTTCACAGGGGAGACCAGCGTTTCTCAAACTGGGGGTCCTGACACAAAAGGGAATTGCAGGGGTGGGTCGGGGTCGCAAGGTTATTTTAGGGGGGTTGCGGTATTGCCACCCTTACTTCTGCACTGCTGCCTTCAGAGCTGGGCATCCGGAGAGTGGCGGCTGCTGACTGAGGGCCCAGCTTTGCAGGTAGCAGCGCAGAAGGAAGGGTGGCAATACCAAACCATGCCATCCATACTTCTGTGCTGCTGCTGGCGGCAGCTCTGCCTTCAAAGCTGGGATCCTGGCCGGCAGCCGTCTCTTTCCGTGCCCAGCTCTGAAGGCAGCGCTGCCGCAGCAACAGCACAGAAGTAAGGGTAGCAGTACCGCAACCCCCCCACAATAACCTTGCAACGGCCCCCCCCCGGCCCCAACAGCTCCTTTTTGGGTCAGGGACCTTACACTTACAACACTGTGAAATCTCAGATTTAAATAGCTGAAATCATGAAATTTATGATTTTTAAAATCCTATGACTGTTAAATTGACCAAAATGGACCATGAATTTGGTAGGGCCCTACTCATGGAAGACAGGAGAGATTTGAGTCTGTGATATTTCATCTTTATTACCAGAAAAGGCCAGGTTTCCTTAATTAGTGCAGTGTTTGGATGTTATGGCATAAATAAGGCATGGGGCTTTATGCTGAACCAAGAGGATGAAAGGATATTGAACAACTGCATCATTCTCTAAGCATCCTCCATCCTGTGCACTGAATGATGCTGAGTTCCCGTGGAAAAAAATATTATACAACTGTGTTAACGACTTGGCAAAATGTATGATTAGGGGTCTGGAACACATGAGTTATGAGGAGAGGCTGAGGGAGCTGGGATTGTTTAGCCTGCAGAAGAGAAGAATGAGGGGGGATTTGATAGCTGCTTTCAACTACCTGAAAGGGGGTTCCAAAGAAGATGGCTCTAGACTGTTCTCAATGGTATCAGATGACAGAACGAGGAGTAATGGTCTCAAGCTGCAGTGGGGGAGGTTTAGATTGGATATTAGGAAAAACTTTTTCACTAAGAGGGTGGTGAAACACTGGAATGCGTTACCTAGGGAGGTGGTAGAATCTCCTTCCTTAGAGGTTTTTAAGGTCAGGCTTGAGAAAGCCCTGGCTGGGATGATTTAACTGGGAATTGGTCCTGCTTCGAGCAGGGGGTTGGACTAGATGACCTTCTGGGGTCCCTTCCAACCCTTATATTCTATGATTCTATGATTCTATACATGAAAGGGGTCAAAATTAAAGCTATACAGGCTACCTAAGTTTCAGGCATTTCCTGAATGCTTGACTTCATCACTTAAACATTCTTTTTTATGGTTCTTTTCTGTGTAAATTCCTAGTTTAAAAAAAACCAGATAAGTTCAGGGGTGGGCAAACTTTTTGGCCCGAGGGCCATATCTGGGTGGGGAAATCGTATGCAGGGCCATGAATGTAGGGTTGGGGTAGGGGGTTGGGGTGCAGGAGGGAGTGCAGGGTGCAGGAGAGGGCTCAGGGCAAGCAGTTGGGGCACAGGAGGAGTGTGGGGTGTACGAGGGGGCTCAGGGCAGGGGTTGGGGTGCAGAAGGGTTGCGGGCTCCGGCCTGGCGCCACTTACCTGGAGCAGCTCTGGGGCAGCAGTGGCACACAGCGGGGCTAAGGCAGAGTCCCTGCCTGCCCTGGCCCCACGCTGCTTCTGGAAGTGGCCAGCACCACGTCCCTGCAGCCCCTGGGGGAGGGGAGGCAGAGGGCTCCATGCGCTGCCCTCACCTGCAGGTACCTCCCCCGAAGCTCCCATTTGCCGTGGTTCCCTGTTCCTGGCCAATGGGAGCTGTGGGGGGCGGTGCTTGCAAGCGAGGGCAGCACACGGAGCCCTCTGCTCCCTCCCCCCAACCAGGGGCCGCAGGGACGTGGTGCTGGCCGCTTCCGGGAGCAGTGCAGGGCCTGCGGTGCCAATCCCGCGGGCCGGATTCAAAGCCCTGATGGGCCAGATCTGGCCCACAGGCCGTAGCCCACCCCTGTTCTGGTATGTGCAGCTCTCAACAGAGCTTTTAAAAAAAGTTCAGAGAATTTAACATTGAGATTGCTGCAAAAGCACAAGGGGACTGAGTTGAGGCTGCATGGGAATCCTTAATTCTGGCATTTCCTGACTTTTGAGTATGTGACTTTTCAACCTTAATGTTCTTTTAATGTTTTTTGAAGGTAATTTCTGAACTGAAAAAAAAAAAAAGAAAAAAATTCCATCACATGGAACCGTATTGATCCCCACTTGGATCATTAGCAGGGTTTTGACCTTTAGATCCATACCATAGAAACTTTGCTAACAGAGTAACTGATAGTAGTAGTGTGCTGCCATCCTCTGTGTGGACCTGCTGTGACAGGAGGATGACACACACTTGGCCAGTGGGTTTCACAACTATTTGCCATGAGCAAAGAAAAATATAGATTGAGGAGTCCCAGGTTCCTCCAGGTTCTACAGAGGGAGTGTACTTTTTTGCCCCTGCATCCCCTCCAACACTAGTTCTGTGCTCCTACCTACCCTATCCTATCCCCCTCCTCTTTTGCTGCCTCCCCCACCAGGTTCTGTATCCACTGCATTTCCCCTTCCAGCTATTGTCCTCTTCCCCTCTTCTTTTTTCTCCATCCTTTGTCTCCTCTTGTAACTCCCTTTCACCATGTTTCCTCCTCCTATTCCTCAGCCCTCTGCATCAGCCTGCTTTCTCCTCCCTTCTGGGATGCTGGTGGGGATGAAGAACAACTTGAAATTTTCATTAAGGGGAAAGTAGGCAAGTATTTAAGAGGAAAGTTTCTGGACTGAGGTGTATTAAGTTGTGGAATAGTCTGTCCGGAAAAGATGGAAGCTTTGTCATTTGTGACTTTTAGAACTAGATGTGACAAAATGCTTTCTGCTAGAGAGAATAATCATGGGTTGGCTGGGAGATGGAGTGGGTAATTGGATAGAAAAGACCTACCTTTGAATCTAGGGAACAGATTGTAGCAGCACTTATCTCCACTGCAGAGCTACCCACAGAGACTACACAATGATCAGTCTTGAGCGAATGATCTGACTGACTCTGTGGTCTCTGGGCTACACCATGGCTAGTGCTCTGGAACCACATTTGGCCTGGAGGCTGCACTTGGCCTGCCTGTTTGACATGTACTTTGAAGCCTAATGCAGCATGACCTGTCCTGTTTGCTGAGCAGTGCCCCTTCCCCTTCATTCTGCATTAGAGCTGCATTTCACTTTCTTTTCTCATGTTATGCAATCTTTAACTCCCAAAGTTAAGCAATGATAGATGTATTGAAAGATGTTAACTTGGTCCCTTGTCATCTTCCTCCTAGGCCTATCTCACTGATTTCCTGTGTCAGTTTGCACAGCAGCCTTGCTATGCAATGTTCTCAGACCATCTCAATGAGAACGAGAGAAGAGTGCTTGAGGCCATTGGCATATGAACCGTGCAGAGACCATATTGATCATATCTGGACAATATTTTTCTGGCTTATTCCATGTTTTGTGATTAAACATGAAACTTTTTCCAGTGTTCACCTGTTGTTACAGATGTGATCTTCCTCATCACGAAGTATTGAGCCTTGTCTTATCATGACTCTGTTAAGGGAAGGATGATTGGGAAAGCTCCAAAGACTGAGCTTTGCACTCTGCTCTCACCAAGGGAACACTTTCGTTTACCACAAAAAAACTTTCCAGGAGGTCCTTAAAATAATGTGTCCTTAAATATTTTTAAAAATAAACTTTATATTTGCCTCTGAAGAGACACGTAACTGAGTTTCACCCAATACAGTTGGACAGAACGAGGAAGGAATCAGGTATTTTGTAGGTTGCTTGGATGTGTTTTGAGACTTTGGAAGTTTTGTCCCTCTTCGCACTTGCATAACACATACAGGGTAAATATCTTCATCTTACCATGTGACTTTTTTATAGAACTATAGATACTTTTATCAAAGAGATGCCTAAATGGTATGGAATCTGTTTACAAGAATTTGGATGGGAAGCTGAAATAATAAAATTAAATGAACATCTTGTTTCGTACTGTGGGAGGGGGCTTCTATGTAGTCTCTCTAACATTGCATCAGTTCTTTGCTAAAGCTTTTGCATGCACATGCTCAAAGGAAGCTACCACTTAAATCTCAATTCTTGTGGAATGTGGCTATTGAAGACTGGTTTTACTGAACACAAACAACCATACACTTTTTTTTGTAAAAAGTTATTTAACTTCCTCTTTACTCCATAAAAACAGTTCTCTGAAATACTTTGCTTCCTTCACACTCCTGAGACTTATATGAAGTGGGTAAGCTATAGTCCACAAATTAGTATGTGTATTTTTATAGGGTGGTAAAATAAAATATCCATAAGTACAGAGTGATGTATCTCACAACACCTCTTTGCCTTTTGTTCCCTTTTGGGGGAAAATGAAAATAAAACTATTAAAATATACACTGGTATTTTCTTTTCAAACAGATTTCTAGAAGGAAATAATTACATTTTATACGTATTTACCCTTTAAAACTTCTCCTTTAACTGTACCCTAGAGACTATTGGCCTCGTCTCATAGTAGTATTCTGGGCAGGAGGGGAACCCTGTAACTGACTCTGCAGCTTCCATTTCCTTTTAGGCAGAATGAGAACCACTAAAACCCCCTTTCCTGTAGGGTCCATCTGGTAACTCTTTTCAGGGAGTAATAATGTGCTTTCAAACTGCATCCGCAAACCTTCCTTACAAGCAAGCAAGCCAAATAGCTCACTATATATGTGCCAGTGTTGGTCTTTTAAATTGTTAAAGCGGAGGGAACAAAGAAGCCTAATACAAGGCTGTACTTCTCTCCACAGCTCCTCACAAAGCTTGTGTGACCTCAAACCTTGCTGGTCTAATTTAGGATGTGGCTCTTCTCTCTTCCTCAGCTGAGGTAATAAATTAACTCTCCTTTTTAGTAACCGAGGGAAAGCTGGTGCCCCAGGTCTGGGGGTTGTTGGTGGTTAGTTTTATTTTTCAAACATAAAATTTAAAAAGGCAACATGACTGCCCCCAACTTCCTGAAGCAATGATGGAAATAGGGCCAACACATCTGTCATTGCAAGTGAATGGATTTGAAAGGGTTAAATGCTGTGAGATGCAGTAGGATGTCTTCTACAAACTCTAACTTTTGTGCCAAGCTTGCTTTCTCAGAGTTTAACAAAAAATAAATGGCTGAAATCCTGAGGTAGCTGTGCTGAAGAATCAGCTTATGAGTAAAGTATCGGGGGGTAGCTGTGTTAGTTTGTACCATGAAAACAACAAGGAGTCTAACAGATTAAAGACTAACAGATTTATTTGGGCATAAGCTTTTGTGGGTAAAAAAACCACTTCTTCTGTGTGTTTTTTTTAACCCACGAAAGCTTATGCCCAAATAAATGTTAGTCTTTAAGGTGCCACTGGACCCCTTGTTGCTTATGAGTAAAGGAAGGCTACGTAATGCTGCAGCCCTACTTTGGCATGATAGCTGATGAAGTTTTGCTCCTGAATATTGGAGAGGACCTGTGCTGCACAGTGCATGTTTGTAGAATACTGATTCAGTGGTGCTGAAAATATAAAACAGAAAAGAGCGAAGGGCAGATCTAAACCACAGGGCGTATTGCAGAATGCAGAAGAGCCATCAAATGTTAATTGTTTGATGTCCTGTACATTGGAAACTGCGTTCTAAAATTGGATCATGCACACTTCTAGGTAAGCGAAGGATCAGACGTTTGAGGGTAACAGTGTGTTTTGTGGCGTGGAAGATGGACAGACTTGAAGTCTGGCCAACTGATCTAAGGGATCTTCAGGGATGTTGATATGCTCTCTGCAGGAGGCCCACTGGAGTCAGATCTTACACAGTGTGCACCTTAATTTTGCTTGACATATTTTGATTCTTCTTAAAGCACATTAAAGAATTTAGATTATAGGTTTAAACAAGAGCATGAAACATGGAGACAATTTGGCATTAACACTGTGGCTATCCCTTATTTTGTGTTAGAGGATTTCTCTGGTGCTGCACAGGCCTATCTCCATCTGAATAAATTAGGGGGAGCTTCTTCTGAGCTCCCTTCAGTGCCCTTCATTATGTTGGTTAGAGTCTGTTGCTGTCTAGCATGTCTATTGCACGAGACATTTGTTCTTTATTTCCAATAAGAGCTACTGCTGGGTAGAGTGACATTGCATGAAACTCTGAAGGCTGGGAAGGTGTACCCCTTCAGTAACTTAGTGCATCCTTTGTTCAACTACCGCAGTAGGTCAGTGGTCCTGAAACTTTTCAGGGTTGCACCCCCCTCTTGCCCCTGTCCAAACCCCCTCCCTGGGGCCGGGAGTGGGGCCACGGCTCTTGGGGCAGATGTGGACAGGGTAAAGGGTCCAGGGCTGGGAGCGGAGCCCCGGCTGGGGCCAGGAGTGGACCCAGGGGCCAAGCGGGGCTGGGTGGTGTTCCCTCCCTGCCCCCTGTGGGGGCTGTACCAGGCCCTCCACATCGTCTTAGGCAGGTGTACCCCACAGTTTGGGGACCTCTGCAGATAAGGGAGGCAGGAACAGCTTAGATGTCCTGTGGTATTGTCCATAATACTGTTAACACGTGGCTATTGTTGGAAAGTGTTTGCTGCCAATAAAAGTTCTTGTGACTGAAGCCTTCCACACAAAAAATACCTTAAGGACAGTAAGGGCTACAGTGCTCAAAAAAGGGGGTGACTTGAATGGAAGGTAGTTCTCAGTGGTGCTAGTCCGAAACGCCTGTCAGTAAAGTGGCTTGGGCAAGTCATATGCTGATGTTAAACCCTTCCCCTTCACGCTTTGCTCCCCTTCATGTGTTCAGGATTCTTAAAGGGTGGCCCTTATTTCTTTCTTTGAAATGGGTGTTAAAGGAGATTGTCATGCTGTCTGGAATGGTTCATGACCATGAGTGCCAACCTCAGGGGAGACTGTCAAGAAGCAGGGCAGACACCCCAAACTGGTGGCATGGTCTATAATTTCACCAACCCAGTAACAAATGTGAACTCCCGAAGCACTATACCAGTCTTACCATGGAGTCACAAACAGTCCCCTTGGGCATTCCAGTCTATCTTGCCACCCAGGCAAGATGGACTTAGTAATAAATGGGCACGCCAAAGATTGCTAAATATTCAAGTTCCTCCAAGTCCCAAGAGATCAGTCACTTACCCCAGATCAGTTTGTACTTTGATCTGACACCAAAGACAATGCTGGTAGCCAATCCTATAGTAAACTAACTGAGAAAAGAAATTAATTGTTTACAGGTTAAAGCGGGCAACATTCCTCACTTAACGTTGTAGTTATGTTTCTGAAAAATGCGACTTTAAGCAAAACGATGTTAAGCAAATCCAATTTTCCCATAACAATTAATGTAAATATGGGGGTTAGGTTATAGGGAATCTTTTTTTGCCAGACAAAAGCATTCTATACATTTTAAAGAAGCAATTAAATACAGGTAGTAAACAGGCTGGCAGCCCCCCTATCAGCTCCCCTATGTCCCCTCTTCACCCCAGCCCCAGCACCTCCCACCCGCTGGCAGACCCTGTGGATCAGCACCTTCCTCCTGCTCCTCCTGCCCACGGCAATCAGCGGTCTTGCGGCATTCAGGAGGCTGGGGGGAGGAACGAGGACGCAGCGCGCAGCCTCCCCCCTCCCTCCCCTACCTCCTGCCCATGGCAATCAGCTGGTTTGCAGCGTTCAGGAGGGAGGGGCAGGGAGGGAGGGGGGGAGGCTGCGGGCCGCATCCTCCCTCTTCCATCCACAGCCTCCTAAACACCGCAAGACCGCTGATTGCTGGAGGCGGGGGGAGAAGGGGGAAGGTGCTGATCCGCAGGGACCGCGGATGGGCGGGAGGCACTGGGGGGCGGGGGGCGTAGGGGAGCTGATAGGGGGGCTGCCGGCTGTGGACAAAGCAGTCAGCCAAATGATGTTATAGGGGAGCATTGCTCAACTTTAAACGAGCATGTTCTGTAATGGAGCAGGGACGTAACATCTAAACAGCGTGAAGTGAGAGGACGTTCAGTGGGGAGTTACTGTATGCACAAATGAGTGAGTTTATGGTTTCCAAAATGTGACATGTAGTAGTCTATCCACTGACTGTCTTGGGGCTAACCCAGCTTGCCCCTGGGGATGTCTGCATTTGTTTCTTAGCTCCAGCCCTTGTGTGAGTCCAAACAGCAAAGAGATAACTATTTCCTCTTGTGAGCATATTTATATGACTTTCCCCCAGAGTTCAAACCAATGTGACAAGTGCTTCTGCATGTAACTTCTTCATGGGTGGATGGGGCAATCAACAAAGTTTTTGTCCTGCAATGGCCCATTTAGTTTTGATAGTCCTCCGTGGTGAGCGGAAGCAATCTTCCTGCCCAGGTTCACAAGTTCAGCACAGGCACTTTTACAGTGATAAAGCAAACTTATATTTTACCTTGTAAACAAATTCCTAAGAGATTGTGCAGAAACACATCAGCCCCTTGTAAGATAAGGAGAGGATGACAGGATAATGGGTGAGGACATTTCGTTCAAACTAGCAGGTACAAAGTATAAGGATGGTAACTTGTTTGTATCGTATACAAGGCAAAGTCATAGGAGGGGCATCTTTGTATTGGCCAAGGGGACAGAATCCTGGTATATACGTTGAGCCTTTAGCTTGTCCCAGGCATACATCTGAGAGTGTCCATGTGACCTGTTGAGTAGGGTGCTAGTACCATGCTTTGCTGACAATAAACCTGGCCGAGCACCTTTACCACCAAACCATGCCTGTGGTCTTTGAGAATAATATTGAGGTCTGCTGAATCGGCAAGCTGCACTCTGCTAGTGCAGGTTGGAGCTCAAGAAATGCCCGCACTTAGCAGCGTTAACGTTGCAGCAGTAACAATAGTCCGCAGCAGTAACAACATGCTCCATGGGGGCTGGCTCCCTTGTTGTCACCAGAGAATCTCCGGGTCTCCTCAAGATATTGGTTGGGGTTGTCCTCCCCTTGGTTGTAGCCCGATAGGTCACCCTCGGATCACCATCAGCAACAAGATTGTCATCTGTCCCACAAGACGGGCTTTGGCCCGGTGCCTACTGGCCACCAATATCTTATCTTTGGGTCGTTCCTCAGTCCCTGAGGTCTCACTCTTTGACCTGCTCCAGAAATAGATTACCAAACCCAACGGTGGCTCCTGCTCCCAAACCATCTGAGCTGCAAGTGACCAATGAGCCCATTCTTCCTGGATCTCTGGGACTATTCTGACAGGATCCTCTGGTGTAATAAAAGGACCCATCACTGGCACAGCAAACCACATCTTCATCCTTTCCGGATGACTCTGTGACAGAATAGTACTCTCCCTTAGTGCCTGAGGGGTTTAAGACATATCAGGATCTCCTGAGGCATATGGCTGCTATCTTGGGCATCCAGCTGGAATTCCTGCAGGAGAATACGCATAAGATGCTGAATAGTCTCC